AAATATATTTAAACAAGCTTACATTTAATTTTTGTTTCAACAAAATCGGATAATTAATCTCAGAGATATTTAGGCTCAAACTCGAGTGCACATATTTATTTCCCCGACAGTAGTGTTCTTTCAATCTAATTCTTGAAATGTATTATTCCTATTCCACAAGCTCTTCAGGCGAGTTTAAAAATATAATTGAAGTGATTTACTTGACTAGTAACACGGACTGTAAACGAATTTTTAAATTAAATTTTGTGTATCATTTTTAAGTGCACAATTTTTACTTAAACAGGCTGTAAGTATTAGACAACTAACTAGCAAAACTCATAACGTTTTGTTTCTATAAGGCATAAACCATAAATAACTTCTAATAACATATTGCTTTTCACATTTAATAATAAATATTATTGTAACATTATATATTATTATTGTAACATTATATATTATTATTGTAACATTATATATTATTATTGTAGTATAATATTATATTACTTTGTAAAAACTAAGTTTTTAAATTCACTGAGCCCAAAACCCAATAAATTTCCAAACGAATAATTTATGTGTCAGACGCTTTACTCCTGCTTGATTTATGATATGCACGCTGACTACCCTGACGTTATGGTCTGTTGTAATTCATATACATTAGTAATTATTTATCAACCCGGTCTTTAGTGTTTCCAAGAACGCACGATGTACGATATTCTTTGTGCGTAGCGCCGAGCGGCGAGTGGTTGCTGGCTGGCCTTGGGCAGTGTCAATGTGCCCTCCCCTCCACGCCGGCGACCAGACCTACCAACGTACTAGCTTTCTCACTGCAAATTTACCTGTTTTCCCCCATTCTCCCTCCCTTTTCCCAGCAGTCACAGATAAATATATCGTGGTAGTTACTCGGAATCGATGTGTCAAGTAAACAAATAAAGAAAGTAAAACATTGAAAACGCACTACAAACAAATTTAATTTTACAAAAAAGAATCCTATAATATGCTTGCATATAGATTTAGGTGGCCCATTCACTGTGAAATAAGTGATTATATTTTCATTGCTTGATCTTTAAAGCCTACTAGTTACAAAAACCACTTGTAGCCTTCTTTGGCATTTATACGTTTTGTTTAAGAAATAATTTATTAAATACCTTGTATTCGTCAGATTTTAAAGCAAAGAATGAATGTCTCAGAAAACGGAGGAATTTCCACAGGAAACTGAGGAATGTAAACTGGAAATAGAAATGTACACAAGAAACAGAGAAATCAACACCGGAAACGGAGATACTTACACAGGAAAATGAGGAATGTAAACTGGAAATAGAAATGTACACAAGAAAAAGAGAAATCAACACTGGAAACGGAGGAACTTACACAGGAAAATGAGGAATGTAAACTGGAATTAGAAATGTACACAAGAAAAAGAGAAATCAACACCGGAAACGGAGGAACTTACACAGGAAAATGAGGAATGTAAACTGGAATTAGAAATGTACACAAGAAACAGAGAAATCAACACCGGAAACGGAGGAACTTACACAGGAAAATGAGGAATGTAAACTGGAAATAGAAATGTACACAAGAAAAAGAGAAATCAACACCGGAAACGGAGGAACTTACACAGGAAAATGAGGAATGTAAACTGGAATTAGAAATGTACACAAGACAAAGAGAAATCAACACCGGAAACGGAGGAACTTACACAGGAAAATGAGGAATGTAAACTGGAAATAGAAATGTACACAAGAACCAGAGAAATAAACACAGGAAACTGAGGAATGTACACTGGAAACAGGTAAGTACACAGGAAACTTAGGAATGAACACAGGAAACTAAGGAATGTGTACGCAGGAAACTTAAGAATGTATACAGGAAACAGTGGAACGTACCCAAAAAACTGAAAAATGTGTACACAGGAGACTGAGGAACTGTGTACACATGCAACAAAGTCATCAGTAATTGAAGTATTCATGTTTAATGTTATGGGGTATTGTTTTAGGTAAGACAAATTGAGAATACTGCACATACGACATTAACCAACACTCCAGACCTTGAATTGAACCCTTTCATTTATGAGCAGTTTTAAACTACGACTATATACATTTGTGTTTAGTAGTCTCGTCCCAATGACAGGATGGAGGGATAATCTGTGTGAACCGCGGAAATGGATTTGTCATGGCGAGCCTTGTCCGTGGCCGTGTCTGGTGTACAGTGAACCGTGCTTCCAGCCTAGCCACATACATACAACAACAGTGTAACAACAGGACAAACTCAACTACAGTACATAGTTAGATATGTCAATATTACAACACCAAGGGATGTAAGAGATTGCTGCTTGTGACTAAAATCTAAAATAACTATAGAAGGATGTTGATAATTGAATTTCGGATGCATCCCAGATCTTCAGCCTACATTGAACCGTCCCCCCCCTGATCTGATGGACAGATTTTATTCTCCCAAAAATATCATATTAAGACATTGGCAGTCAATAAACACATGCATGTCTTGACTAAACACATCATTGAAATTGTTGGGTGGACCAATTGTATTTCCAACAGGTTTTTACATTGCCTTTTTCTACTAAGACTGCAGTGTGTAGGTGGTACAGTATGTTACTTGTTGGGCTCACCATGTGTCTGTCATGCTCCCCCACAGAGTCAGTTCCATCCTGCCATATGGTCAACACAACACAGCTGTTGATCCCCCCACCACCACCCCCATGATACACAAACCAATAACCATGCTGGGTTAAAATTGAACAACATGCATGATCTTTGATCAGCCACAGAGTAAAATCACACTTCTAATCTGTGTATCAGTAATGTAGAGATACTTTTACCATGTTTAGGTTGTTAAATTATGTATTATCTTTGCTACTCTGAAAGGTAAAGACTACAAAAAACTGTGGAAGATGTATTGGAGGCACGAGGTAGGGGAGTACAATACCTAGAGCAACAGTAATACGAGGGTATTTTAGAGTGGCGCCGCTCTGATATCGGGTCTCATTTAGTTGCGTGTAAATTTGTTGAGGGTGGATATGATACGTCTGAGCGACGATCGACAGTAAACGGTACCGCTCATGGTTCCAAGTCCAAACCAATTTTTTGCAAAAATGCCGCTTGGTGCTCAGATAAGTCAAGCGGAAAATGTCATAGGAGCGTCCAGCTAAACTTAAGGACACAGAAGTAAAGTTGAGTGATTTACAAATAAAAGGTGGCACTCAGGTTGCTGCTCGAATCTTATCCGGTTAAACTAAAGTTAGTAAATAGCTATGCTATGTCATGGTGGAGAAATGTAGTGCCAACAACAAGACAAGTATTGAACTACACTTAGTGTAGGTTACGTCACTCTCCCACAGCATGAATCATCCTGCTCCACTGAATTGGACTCCACCATTTGAGTATAAAATGCAGTACCATGCTTTTCCTAAACTTAACAATATACACATTACTAAAATTCATTTCACTAGTTCTACACAACAAGTAGTAAGTGAGCGTGCAAGGAAGCATAATATTTCATAATGGATTGAATAAGATTGGTTTACTGCCAATCAATCTGGCCTTGAAATTAAATCATCTATCCATGACCTGCGCTTTGTTAGAAACTCATTACATAATTTATTATCTTACCATTTAGTAGATAAAGACTTCCTTTTATAATTCGTTAAGAGTTTCTGCTTTTTATTATTTATATTAAAAATTTTATTGTACAAATCAATGTTGGTACTGACAAGCAACAAACTTATCGCAGTATTACAAAAAGATGTAAGAAAAATCTTATCTAAGTAAAGCTATATCTTCAGTCAATCAGTAAGACAAGGCTATCAATAATAACTATTAGTAAATAAATATCCACTTTCGTAATTAGTCGACACTGGTTAGTGTTGATTCAACTGGCATGCAAAGATTACGCAACCACTAATGATTGGTAAACAAACAAGTGTTTCAACCTTGATTGGTATGCAAGAATATTTGACCTACTGCTACTGTTAGTAGGCCGGTCTATTGTACTTTGATCTGCAATCTAAAACAGGTCGGCCGAATAATGAAATACATTACATACAGAATAGTCATCAAAGTTCCTTTTGACTTGTAGCAAATAATGTGCAAGTTAGTTTCAGGGAGGTTTCTCTTAGTAATTAAGTGGGAAATTAATTTGTTGGTAAAATAATTACAAAGATGGTATTGGGAAACAGAGTAGTGTTCCTAACATAACTATTTCCAACCATGTATATGATTATTCTTTTGGAGTGATTAATAGAAGAGAATTATAGCTGTTTTTACTTGGTCTTACATTGGTGAATCAATGGTAATGTCATGGGTGGGATCTTTTGCCACCCATGATAATTTTTGGGTACAATGATACTGCTTGCCGTCTTTGGAACGATCTTCCTTTAGCTATTAAATCCCTCGATAGTCGTTCCCGGTTTGTGGCAGCGCTAAAAAATCTCTATTTTGAACGTATGGCCATGGTAGGTTTGTCGTAGGGGCCTGTGCGCATGGCGGTCGCTGACTTGTATGTATGTGTGAGTGAGTGTGTGTGTGTGTAAGTATTTTTAAAATTTACTGATTTTTGATAAAAGTTTCTGTATCTGAGTTTCTGTAGATTTCTGTTTTGTTTTATTGTATAAGCTGATTATGTTAAAATATTTATATTATGTTTTAAAGTACAGGTTAAGTGTAAGAAAGGGCCATGTGGCCCTAACTTTGCCTGTATAAATAAATGATTTTTCATTTCATTTCATTTCATAATCTTTTGTACGATTTATTCTTGTTGTGTATTGGTTCACTCCTTGCCGACCATGCTTGATTTTTTTGCGTGCTCGATATCTAACACGTTCAGGCTGCTAGAGAGTGTAAAAATCTAATTCCAATGTCAAATGAGCTAATCCTCCCACACATTTTATATGTCACAATAGGTTATAGTTTGTAGATATGTTTGTAGTGGGGTCATTAGTTAGTCACCACTAATCGTACACAGCCAACCTATAAACTTATAGTTGCTATAAGAGTTGGTTCATGTTACAGATCACGCGGTATCACAGCCCATCACGATGGTGGCGCGACGCTCGGGCAGTTTCCCTGGAAGTGAGGCAGGTAACATCCTCAGTCCACGGTCCTCGGAGACGAGTGGCCTCGGTGTCAAGATGGTGGAGTATGTCCTCGGCACCTCCCCCACCAACAAGGACCTGGAGCCTCAAATGCGACGACTTGTGCTGGTCAGTACCTAACCTTAACTGGCTGTAGGACAGTTGCATGTCGTGGTATGACATCAGTGGCGTTGGTGTAACCACTACCAAAACAGGAATTACCATGTTAATAGAAACACAAAAGTCTGAGTATTTTAAAACTCATCCAACAAATTTCAAACTCTGTAATCTTTTTGATGCCGTTTAAGAAGTAAAATTACATCTGTATGTAATAAAGATCTAATGTTAAAACTGAGGGATGTTAATAAAGTTAGTTGGATTATGAATTGAAGCTTTAAACATTCCGAGAGGAGATACAATTTTACAATTATGCATATTTTAGAGGATTATTTTTCTCTAGTATTGACCTAATGAAAAATGTTATCATTGAAATGGGTGAAGTAACCTCTGGCTGTTTTAAGAGTATGGATTAATTTGTCGGACAAAAACAGGATTGATGCTAGCTAGTGATGAATGGACTCTTGCATATCTGCATTTGATTGAGCCATGACATACAACCAGTCCATCTCCATCTGGCCTGCCTCTCTCATGTCCACCTATCTTTTAGGGAAAAATATTTTTTTAACAATATGTTAGTACTACATTATCTAAATATATAAAAGACAAAGTCCTCACTGACTCACTCACTCACTCATCACTAATTCTCCCACTTCCCATTTACCAAGGATGCTGAAATTCGGTACACCGATTCTTTGGGTATTAAATAGGAAAACTAAGTAGTTTTTATTCTGATCGGGCTTTCGGGCTCCACCCCAGTGGCTCTGGAGTTGCCCATGTTAACCTTATGATTTTTCTTATTTAAAAGGAATTAATGAATCTTAACAGCTGTTTCAATTAAACAAGTTGGTTCTGTTCTATGATATTCAATAGCAGTAAAGTTTCAAGGATTACCAACAGGGTGCAGCACTATTATTTTTTTTATTTATGACAACAGCTAATTTGCAACCAAAAGGTGAGTGAGCGTAGCGAACAAACTTCAACCTGGAGGCGACTTAGCGTAGCGAACGAGCTAACCTGAAGGCAAGTGAGCGCAGCGAACGAGCTCCAACCTAAAGGTGAGCGAGCGTAGCGAACGAACTTCAACCAGGACGTGATTGAGCCATGCGAATACTTATGAAGTTAAACGGGGCAAAGCGCGGGCACAGCTAGTCTATGTATAAATCTTAGTATTGCTTATCAAAGGGCCTAGATACATTTTGCCTAGTTTCAAAAATGTTTGGAATTACGATTGTAGATTGTAAGAATGATTTGCACTAATGTCATATTAGGAGTTTTTTTTAGGGTAAGATCTCATCTCCTTTTTACAGCTAAACTGTTTTAAGGCCCTAATCAATTGTTTGGACTGGTAATTGGTTGTGAATGTATAATGTCAATAATCTGATTAATTGGCACTGGACCTCATCCGGATTACAAATCATCCTGATTATCAAAATTACCTTTAAAAGAGCAAACTTGAACTATTAGTGTAAACACTTTTTAAAATTGTAGCTATATTTTCTTTAATAAGTTAAGGGTTTAAAATAATAATCAAAACACATTTTATGTTGAACCACTGTATCTTATTTAATTTACATCAACAAGTATACAGTTTACAGTAGAAATATCAGCCACTACTTACTTGAGCTTTTAATAAATGTGTAATTTTGGAACAGTTGTAGTTGGATTCTATTTCAGCTAAGTCCCCTTGATTGATTTGTTTTGAGACAGTAGTATGACATTTTATTTCTTGCCAGTGAAAAATCTGAATTATTGATGGTCTGTATTTTTGAGGTCCGAACTATCGACATTTTACACAAGTAGGGTTAAAACTTTCTGACTGTAGGACTTGTCCCTGCTGAAAATATCACACCAATACTATTTATTGCCTGCTCCCAATCACTTAGTTTGCTATAAGAAACACAGTCATAATTTCATCCAAATTAGAAGAAATTTTGTTCACAAATACAACCAAAATTTTTACAAAAAGAACACGTCAAACAGAAAGTTTTAACAATAATTAATGTGTAGTATCCAGCCCCCGAGAATCAATTTTGGTCTGAAATCATAACCAGTACCCATTTTGAAAGAGTAGTACCAACAGATCATTAATTTTTATTAATGTTATATTTGTTGTTCTGCATTTTTCATTTTTATTGTTGTTTTATAACAAATTTTGATTCAGTTAGTAATGAGATGAAGTTATATCTTTGTCATTTATCATCAATAGAGATACGTGCAATAAAAACTGATTTGTTAACATAACTTTGTGTTTGTTTACAGACTTCAAATGATCCAAATGACAAGAAAGAGAAGGAGAAGGCACCTTCTTCTCCTTACGACACAGCCCAAAAGAAGGAACACGAAAACGGGGTGGTTCCACAAAACGGGGTGCAGAACGGATTGGATGATGACAAAGGTTTTAAGTAAGTCCTACAAATTCTTTATATTAGATTAACTAGAGCCGAAACAAATTCCTCAACTGAACCAATTAAATTTCAGTACAAATGAGAAATTAGTGAGGTAAGTTCTAGGATGAATCAAACAATTAATTGTGTCAATTATAAAAAACCTACCGAAGGGGTTTTGACTATTGACTTGTTGGTTGTGACACATTCAAATTTGTTGAAGTGGTTCAAGCAGACAGAACCATAAGCAATATGCTGATATGGGAGTGCAAACATTGATAAAGTTATCAGGTATTCCATGAATTTTCTTCACATATATTCGCAGTTCACTTTTATAACCATTATACATGTCTGTCACTGTTCCTCTAACTCCATTACACATTTTTACTTGGACTATACAAATTTTACAATCAAACAATCATAGTCACGAGCCTAAAAATATTTGTCTTACATATCTGGATTAAGAAAAACTCTTGGCTGAGTCACAGATTTTTACCCTTAGGTGCCAAATCAATCGTTCATAAATAATGTGGTTTTTTTTGGGGGTTTCAACTGTTAGTACATTCCATAAAGCTCTAACTACTTTTAATCATGTTGGAATAATGGTTACAATAGTAGACTGTAACATAAAACCTATCAAATACTTTATTCGGATGTTATTAGTCTTGAAAATCATTAGACAAAGATTTGTTGTAATTTAATGCTGTTCTCAATATTATAAATGAATACAACTGTTGTGATTGTCAATAAAAATAAACCCAATTTATTTAAGTTTGTAATTGTTGCACAATTTCATAGAGTTGGAGAACAGATTTATACAGTGGTAGTGATTAGGCTAACCCTTGGTGACAGCTTCTTTTCTCTGGGAGATAACAAAACAAATTACCGTCACTTCCAGGCTTGCCTCAACTGAAGGCCTTTCATTTATTGCTTATTCATCCTAAAATGAAAAGAAAAAATTCTCTCCTCTCCTGGATAGTGGCCTGTCAATATCTCTCTTTTTAAAAACAACACATTTACATTGCTACAAATACTTTTTGTGGGGAAAATCTCTCGTTACTTCTATGGTTTTTGTCTACTACTCTCTTAACACATTGAGCATGGTAAAAATATTAGTGGATGCTTCCCCAGGGCCTGAAATTTTTGTTTGATAAAATCTTACCTTTTATTCGCCCAAAAGTAAGGATCCATGTCAGAAATACCGTTTTAAGCCAGTTTTTCCAATTAAAATGGCGTCCAAAATCTTCGGTCACTGGTCACCGGGCCGGCCCACGCAATGGTATTTGTTGGCATCGTGACAAAAATACTCCATTTTAGGTCTCACAAACACTTTTTTCACACTGAAAAGGTTAAATAGCACTACCGTACCACTAATATTAACAATGTATGCAGCCCCCTTCTTTCCTCCCAACCATTGTTTTCAACCTCAGTGAATCATGGAACTGCTGATCACAATTTGGTATTGGGAAGCCCATCTTTATTAAAAGTCACATAAACTAAACTAATAAACAATCAAATATATTGTTGTGTCTCATAAAAAGCTAAAACACGAAAGAAATACGTCAATAAATGTCCAAAATCATTGTACGAGTGGGAATTTAGCGGTCCTGGGGTAACCAGCACTGGTTCGCAGAAACAGTGCGCGAAACGCACCCAGTATAGGTTATGTCATGCCAAAGATGCACACGCAATAACTCCCGTCCTTTCCACAAGGTTGTGCAAAGTATTTTAAACAAGTTAATGGTTTCCCTTACGTGATCTGCCCTTAAACTTGGAAGAGATGAAAAGGTAAAATAATGCACCACTCATTCCCAGCCACAGTGCATTTACTTTACTTTACAGTGTATTTTTTCTTTCCAATCGTGGGTTCCATTTTCTTTGAATGACATTCTATTTAAATCGGATAGTTATGTTATCTAGGACTATACATCTACAAGGGTTTCTATTCCCTCCTTCTACCTACACATCTACTCTCTCTTGCTTCCGTCCAACAACACCTGACGAGATAGGCAGAACCATTCAATCATTAAAAAACTCCACATCATCAGGAATTAATGAAATTTCTTCAAAAATCCTTAAAACATGTGCAGATGAATTAATAATGCCGCTAATGAAGATTGTAAACATGTTGATGGCAGAGGGGACTTTTCCAACAAAGTTGAAAACAGCCAAGGTATTTCTTAAACACAAACAAGGGGACCGACAAAACATCTCTAAGTACAGACCTATCTCGCCGCTCTCATCTGATAAAAGTAAGAATCCATCTTAGTCAAAACCAAGCATTGACAAACAGCCAACATGGGTTCGTTCCTGGAAAATCAACCACAACTGCTCCGATAGACCTTGTTATATATTATCATTGAGAACATAGAAAATGGCAACACTATCACCAGCCTGTATCTTGACTTAAGCAAGGCTTTTGATTCCTTGGGACATGATCTTATTCTAACTAAACTTCCAAATTTTATGAATGCAGCGAACAGCTATGAAATGGTTTGCAAGTTATCTAAAAGGGCAAAGCCAAATGGCAGATATAAAACACACAACAAAAGGGTTTACAGATACTGTCAGATCTTAATTGCTACCGACTAACAGAGTTCCCCAGGGCTCTGTCCTAGGGCCAGTTCTGTTTGGACTGTTTATTAATGACTTCCCGGAACACCTTGAGGAATACAGCAAGATGGTCATGTATGCAGACGACACTGTGCTGCTTACAGCAAACAGAAACATAGATCAACTGGAAGTAAACACCTATATAGCTTTCAATATGACACAGGACTACTGTATGAAAAATGACTTAGTCCACAATGAAAGTAAGACCAAGCAAATTACTTTTGGAAATAAAAAGTCTACAGTATCTGAAATGCCCAACCTGACAGTAGCGGAAAAATCAAACATCTAGGTGTCATAATTGATGAAATCCTGGGATGGTCATGTAGCTTGTCTTTGCCAAAAACTCGGGCCAGCTCGCTTTGCGATAAAACGAATCAAAGAGACTAGTACCCCTGAGGCAACGAGGATTGCATACCATACATTGTTTGAAAGCCATGTACGCTATGGTATTACTGTCTGGGGTGGATCCACTATGGACAATCTTAACCGGGTCCTGGTTATGCAGAAAAGGGCTATCAGAATAATAGCAGGCATAAGTAAAGAACAAAGTTGTAGAGATGCCTTCAAAAACCTGAACATCCTGACGGTAACTTCCATTACATCCTAGAAACTGTTTTATTACTGTGTAACCAAAAACCTGCCTAAACAAAGAGAAATACATGAATACAACACCAGATATGCAGGAAACTATGTGCTGCCTGGCCACAGAACAGCAATGTTTGAAAAGAGACCACTGTATGCAGGAGTGAAGATGCTAAACAAGCTATTAGACCACTTGAAAATTGGAGGCCCTGTGCTGATGAAGAGGAAGCTACGGAGATGGCTGCTAGACAAAGCTTTCTACACCCTAAAGGAGTTCTTTTCATTGCAAGACCACACACAACACTGAAGAAGCTTTTCCATTTCACTTTGTATCTATTATACCAATGCTATTTATTTAAATTTGACGCTGTAACATTTCTTGATGAAATTGTAATAAAGGAATTGTAATAAAGGAATTGTCTGTCGTCTGTTGTCTATCAAGTTTTTAAATCTTAGGTTCTCAAAGGTGTCTATGACGCCCTCCTCTTCTCAGCCCTCCAACTCACTAGGGAGAGTGGTTCATTTAACGTTTTACTACATATAGTTTTAGTTACACAAGACAGAAAATAAAACTACCCTGACAAATTCTGGTGCTGGCGCTGCACTACACTAAACACATAAATTCAATTGCAAGAGAAAGTTTTCTTTAGGGTATGTTGTGCAGTCGGTTAAAAAATTTCTCATCCAAGCGTGCATTCAAATAGTTTCTATTCGAGTATTTTCTTGCCGAGAGTAACCCAAGCATAGCTAAAAGCTATTGAGAAAGGACAAATCGCCACCAACCAAATATCCATTGCAAGAGAATGTAGATTGAATACTCTTATATGGATTCAGCAGATCAGGAAAGTGTTGTGTGACGTTGTGTGTCGTTTTTCTGCATATCATGTCTTGTCGAATGTAGCTCCTGTTTGATTACACAGAAAACATTTACAAGAAACCTTCACCAGTCTGTTTCCTTTCCCGTCTATTGTAGCTATAATCTTATCCGTCTAGCTATAGTCTTTTCTATGACCAATTAAAATAGGTCACAAAAATAATTTGTTCACGCTGTAATCACCACAGTGCTGATCACTGTGCTAGGTTTCTCAAATAGCAAATCTACAATTTGACTTAATTGTTGCAGCCGCACGCCTGGTAGCCGACAGCCGTCACCATCAGACGAAGAGCTGAACAAGAACAACGGCGTAGTGGTGCTAGAGAACCCCCACTCTCACGTGGGACACCACTACCCGCACCCCTTCCCCCCACCACCACACCCTCACACTCTCGCTCACCTTGACTCGCACTTTGAGCACGTGATGGCGTTGGACCCCAACTCGTTCACAGCAGACGGCAGCCAACAGCAGGGCTACAGCACGCAGACGCCTCAACAACCTCAGCAGCACACACAGACACAGGCAATGGACTCTCCGACCGTGCTGAGCACTTCGTTTGATGTTCAGGTCAGTAGTGTTTGTTAATTGAGGGGATTTTTATGATTAAAGTGTTTGAGAAATAAACAGTTACAAGGGCAACTGAGCTGTAAAAAGGTGTTATACATGCTAGTTGGTCTTAATCAGAAGAGGGCCACCACTATTTAAACTGTGAAAAAACTCAGCTTAGGTTAGGTAAGGTTAACTTACAGCTTTACTTACATTGTTATAATCACAAAAACTCAAAAATCAGAAAAACCCTTAAGCTTTTTTTCAATTTTCAGTGAGCCAATACAAACTTATGTCTCTCCAGATTGTGTCAAACAGAGTACAGTATTGTCTTTATTATTACCGGGCCACATGAGTTCACAGAGATAGGAATTCAATAGAGATTTTTGCTGGTGCCACATTCCTTTTTGTTCCTCATTTCAGGGCCCACAATGATTCCACGGTTTGAGTGTGGGCCCCTGATTGAGGGTCCACAAAGTTTTGATAATAATTAAAAAGATAACGCCCGATGACTGAACCTGACTTTCAATATGCATAATGCAAAATCCTGAACACCCCCCGAAGTCGTATATACATCACTTACCTTCGTTTTCCTCGGTTGCGGCAAAATATTGAACATCTCAAACTTGTGGGTACATAATCCTCGACTCCAGCAATCACAGAACATTTATTGTCATTAGGAGTCTATCTGTATTATTTAGGTGATTGTGGCAAATTTCTGAATATCTCCTGCAGTAAAGGATACATCATCATTGTCTCCCGCGATTGTCTCAAAATATTGAACGTCTCCTGAGGTCATGGAAACAGTATCATCAATTGGTACTATATATATTGTCTCCTGTAGTCATGGAGATATTATCATCGACTTCTGCCATCGTTAATCGGATAATCCCACCTTTTCACTGTGTCGACCACGGTCCCGGTCCTGTATGGGACTAATTAGCTGGGTTGAACTGTAAACCCTTTTTAACTATCTATTGCTGTCAAAAGAAGATTTTGTTGGTTTATAAATTGTCCTACTGTCTTAGTTGGCTTCATTACATGATGAATATAACAAATAGGTCCTCCCATGCACCCCTGCCAATTTTTTGTATGTAAATAGGTGAAAGTGGATGACGGTAGGAGGCTACATACACCCTCCTGACATAAATTTGGGTATTTATAATAATTATTTAGGCCAGTGAGCTTTTGTGTGCCTTTGTTTTTGGGATAGTTGGGTTGTGTTTTTGGTGATCAAAATTAAATTCAAGCTCCTTAAGAATCGAGTCAGGTCAAAAATACTATTCAGTAGACCCCCTCTTATCCGGAATCTTTGGGACTGTGGCCAGTCCGGATAATGGAGTATACTTTATATTGTTAACTACAGCATTGAGTTAAAAAGTATGATGCTTTCAAGTCCATGGGTGGTAAGGAAGTTGATTGAAACAAGTTTATAGTTAATTTATTATCCAGCAGTATCCATACAGTTTTCTATGAAGTGGGGGTAGATTTATCGTCCGTATACAAATAGTAATGTGAGTTTGTCACCCTTGAGGAACATCTCAAGCAATGCTCTCTGAAGTAGATCTAATGTCGCCTACTGCCAACAATCTGACATTCCAATGAACTCAGTTAAAAATAAAATCTACCAACCTAAGTTTAAGGAGGAAAAGTGGATGATATAGGCAGTTACCTTTAATTGTTGATAATGGTAGTTTCTAAGTCCCAAAACTATCTACCTACCCATAAGAAAAGCTTAAAATACTAAGTAAACAGCTAATTCAGAACATCTAGTTCCGAATTAAGTGTTTGAATTTGTGCTTTCATGTTGAGTACTTTTATCCACGGATGTAGGCTAACATCTGTTCACAGTACTAAGTAACAGAATTCACTGTTCTTTCAATTGACCGTCTTCCCTGTGTTGTGTGTGAGCAGTTGTTTTGTTATTTCACAGTACGTTTAGTTTCACAGCACCGGCTTGTTTGGTTTCATCAAAATATTACCTCAGCACAATCTTCTTCTGTTGCCCATCAGAAGATTACCTGTTGAGTGTTATTCAAGTGATTGCGTCATGGGCCAAAGAAGAGCACCGCAAACGCTGAATTGATACTCCCCTTTTGGGTCAGCAAGCTTACTTTGTTTAGGCCTTCAAAAAAGGTTGCCTCTGACCTCTTGAGACTAGACAGGCGAAGAATCAAATTAATTGTAGAACTGATAACTGGTCACGGGCGATTCAGGAAACATTTACAACGGATGGGCTTATTTGATGGTGAACCGATCTCTAGGCACTGTGATAGGTCAGAGGAGACAGCCGATCACCCTGCTCTTTAATTGTGACTAGCTCTCTGATGCTGGTTTGATAACTCTTGGCAATGTGGCTATAGGAAGATATCTTCCCTAATTGGGAAGCTACATGCTTTTCTCGAACGCCTGAACTTGTAAGGTCATCGAGAAAACAAATTTTATTTTGCGTTTCTAGTGTAAAACTTACTTCCGTAAAAGTATGTGCACGGGTAGTCTGATTCACCTTGTATTGACAAGGATATTTTTTCTACTGAGTAAAAAACCAGATATTAATTATTACAATCTTTCCCCAAGGGGTTGAGATTCTATAGACAGAGAAGTGCTAAGGACAGCAACAGAGAACTTAGAGCCCATAATCACTCATATTGTGAACTATGTTGTAATCCATAGACAAATCCATCTACCTAAAATGTTAGACCATCAGATTAATTTATACAACTCTGTAATAACTGTTGATAGAGCATTTGCTTGTATTAAATTTATTTCAAAGTACCACCTCAAATTAGACAATTAGTCTTTTCACAGTTCCCTAAAACTATGTGAAAGAAAATAACTGCTCCCAAGTATGTGTCATATATTGTGGTTTGTCTAAGATGTCTACCACTATTCCAGTCCAATGTCAGTTGACAGATATGTTAATAAGATAATCTTTTATGTTAGCCTCCGGATTATATTGAGTACATGAATTAGTGGGAATAACTGCTTTGTTGCAATTGAAAATGTTGCTAATGCTGCAAACCGTTTTGACTTTTAACTTTTAAGTCTCAGTCATCTTCAGGCGTCGAGGGATGTCATGATCACTTCATTAGGAGGTCGTCAATTCATCTACTACATAGACACACGAACACGAATATCGAAAAGGGAAAATGGTACATTTAAAACCAGTTAAAATTGGTAATTCAGTAGAACCCCTAATCTTCGGCGTCGGAATTTCCGGTCCTCAGTTTATGGTCACTTCCTAGAATCGATACCAAAAATATTTCCCTAGGCTATAATCATCTCCATGATTTGTGCGTTCTCACGGTTTGTCTGTTTCCTGTTCATATACATTTTTAGCGAGTTCACTACTCAGCTACTTAACTGTAGTGGATTGGTGAATGATACGTCTCTACCAAATGGATGTAGAGTCAAGACTGCCGGTCAACGTGGTCGCTTAATGCGGTGACGTCACTCCTTTAGTCAGCTGTAAAATCCATCCTTAAAAATCCCTCTTGAGTACTTTAATAGCCATGTCATAGGTATAATTTGGTTGGAAGGAAAACTTGTGAAACAAGTCTACTCCTTTCCTGTACTTCACCTTGAAATTGTATGTAAAACGTATCATGGCCCTCCCTCGTAGTCTTTCAGCTACTGCTAAACAAGGATAGTCACGTTTACTTCCAAACATTGCAGCTAATGGCTCATAATCAGTTTGCAAGATCACATTTTGTCTGATGAATTTGTGAAATTTCTTAGTGCTTAAGCCTCTTTGTTCAGGTGAGTAATTTTCTCGTGAAGATCATAAAAGATTTGGACGCAAATGCTATTGGTCTCTTTTCACTGTTAATGTGCGAGAGCACCGCTCCAACTCCAGGAGGGCTCACATCACAGGTTTAAACAAGTGGTTTGCTGGGATCATAGTGAACCAACACATTCGAACTCTGTACCCAGATTTACTTCGCTGGAAAGTGAGAGGACATGTTTTTGACCACTCCCAGGCTATATCTTTTCTCATAAGGTCATGAAAACAAACTAACATGCTAGGTAAATTTGGGATGAATTTACCATAACAATTTATCAATCCTTACATAGGCTTAAAGTTTATCCATATTAACACAGTTCAGATGCATTCCTAAGCTTTTAGTTTTAGGAGACCTTCTTGTGGTCCAATACCCTCAGCACTACCCTTGATAAAATTTTTGACTGACATTTTCAAAACTACATTTACTTTCATCGGCTTTGACACTATGTTCCTGAAGATGTTTCAGTTTCAAAACTTTCTTCCTATAATATGCTTCCTGCTCAGATACTCCTATAATGATGATGTCATCTAGGTAGGCCACTGTCCTCTCCAGTTCTTGGACTATTTTGTCGATCGCAGCTCGAAATTATACTGGCGCTGAGGCCAACCCGTACAGAACATGTCACAACCTTACAAAAAAATGGGCTCCTAGTGTTCTTTCTTGTGACGCCTGGGCAATTGGCAGTTGCTATATGCAGCTTCTAAATCAATCATGCAAAAATGTCGTCCGGTTGGGGAGGTGGGTAATGCTCAGTCTGTATGGCATGATATAGGGTTACTTTGGAATCTCTGCAAAGACGAACACCTTTAGACTTTTTCTCTACAACTATGAAGACCGTAGCCCAATTAGAACTAGTCACTGGGTATGCTATACCTTCCACTTTCATGTCGACCATATCATCTTCAACTGGTTTGTGTAGAGGGCAAAGGGAACCTGCCTGAATTTTCAAAACTTAGGAGAAGCATTTTTACTTGAAACAAAATGAGCATTTACATTTTTTATCCCCGCAGTACAACCATTAAATACAGTAGGGTACTTTCTTATTAATTCCTCAACAGCAAGGGCAGAAGAATATTTGGACTAGGACAGAAACGGTACCACTGATAAAACTGTCTTAGGCATACATTCATCTTTGGTAACATTGTTTGAAAATGATGCTCTGAACAAGAAAATATGGATTTCCAATTTAATTGGATGCATTGTAACCAATTCCTGCCTAAAAGCATAGGCTCGCCT